TTTCCCTCCCCTCCTCCAGACCCCTCCCTTCCTAGGCAGCTGCAGCATAACAATGTCAGGGGAAGGGGAGTTTCTGCACTCAGACTTACTCTGTGTATCCTCGGCAGGTGTGACCAACGGCTTTGGAAAACACACTGAAAGCGGGTCTGACTCGGAATGTAGTTTGAGTCTCAGTGGTGGACTGGCATTTGAAGCTTGCAGGTAAGAACACTTGTCCCTGAAGTTTTGTCAGTAACCCTGCCACCTCTCCCCTTATTCTCCATTCAGCCACAGATTGCACCTCCTCCTACTTAAATGAGTTTCTTTCTTCCCCTATCCCTGCTCTTTCCTGAGGCCTCTGGTCTGTAACCCTTGGGAGTTCCTATTAAACAGTGTGACCCTTGACTCAGGTCCGATCTGACTAAGAGGAAGAGTGGTGCTGATGTTCTACAGAGTTTGTGGGGCTGGATTTGGGCTCTATAGGGTAGGGACAGCTGACTCTCCTATTGCCCAGGGAAATTAACATTTGAACCAGTCCCACTGCCCCCCTAATGGTTTCACCCTTTGCCTTTGGGGACTTCACAGAAATAGCCTTTTTAGAGGTGTGATGTGGAAAGAAGAAATGAGCAGGTGAGAAATTTGGAATTGTGGGACCAGCAGTTAGCATAATGGCTATGTCACTGACTCCCATGTAGTCAACTGCAGTTCGAGTCCCAGACCCGGTGGCTAAAACTCACGCCGGGCACGTGTGTGTGTGTGCCTAAGATTCCAAGAGGAGAATGGAGGAGAAGGGATTACGGCGTGGCCATCCCCCTTGGAGGGTGATTTCTCGCTTTCTGTCTCTCTTTCTGGCGAGTGCACATGCCCTGTAGCAAAAACCTCTCCAAAAAAAGAAAAAAAAAAAATTGGAATTGAGTCTTGTTCAAGACAGAGACTCTAGTTCTACTATCCTTGAGCTGATGGGTTTCTTTTTCCATCCTTGCCTTTTACCTAAAGGGAGGATTTTTTGAGACCAGAACTTTAACATTACTCCTAAGTCCAAGTGTTTAGTGAACTCCTGTTCCTTGTTTTGCAAAACATCAGAAAAGAGGAACTCTGGGAATGAGAGCCCCTCAGTTCCACAAAGAAAAATGACTTGTCTTGAAGGTTGATGTCGTGGCCCTACCACACAGCTATTAAATGGATTCTAGGTTCAGAGTAGGGGAAGAGAGGTTCTGAGGCAGCACCAAAAGACTGCATATCTCTGTTTGAAGCACTTACAAGGCAGGGTATGTGTATGCTCTGTTTGATCTTCACTCTGCCCTGGCTACTGGGCTCCTGGTGTGGTTACTGGGACTCTCAACTACCTCTCAGTCCTGGACTGGTTCTTCTGTGGTTCCTTTGAGATTTTCCTCCCCATCAAACATCACAATGCCTTAGCTTTCTCCTCCCTTTTGCAGTTTCCAGAGGTACAGGGGGAGTCGTTACCAGGCATAGGGAAGAGACAGAGATTTCAGAATCCTACAAGATGGTTCTATTGATAGCTTGGTCCCAGGTTGGAGTTCCTCTTTCTCTTTAAAGACACAGTGCTGGGAAGCCCAGTTCTTTGGGTTTGGGGTAGGAGTGGGGTCATCAAACTCTTGTCTTCTAGCCTGCAGCAAAAGGTGGAAAGTGTATTGGTCTCTTCCTCCATGAAGGGCACTCAGCGCAGCTATGAGCCAAAAGAGGTTTGCCAGGCCAGGCTCTGGTTAGCTTGCTGATTCAGGTGTGGTGTTTGCCTTTCTGCAGTGCCCCTGCTTGATGTAGGAACAATGCCCTTGGAAGGCATTTCCTCTGTAACTCAGTGGTTTTCGGTGGAATTTCAGGGTTTAAAATAAGAGATCTAAGGACTCCAACTGCAGGAATATTTTCCTCCCTACGCTGTGGTAGTAAGTACATAAAAGAAGATCTTATTTATTAGACTGAAGTCATATAATCCCCAGAATTAGAAATAGCTTTGAGAGAACTGGTCACTGGTCCATCTTCCAAGCCTCTTTCCCACCTGTCCCTTGGTTTATCTCCCTGATGGCTTTCTGAGCCAGTTAGGACCACACTCTCTTTCCGTATGTCACTCATTCATCTGTCAACAGTTGAATGCCTGCTGCCTGCCAGGCACTATTCTAAGTACTAGTAAGGTATCTGTCCTCATAGAACTTACATTCTAAAAGCAGAGAAAGGTTTGCTAGTTAAACTAGTAAATAAGATTAAGTTGGATTATGTGTGTAGGCCTAGGTAACTTGGAGAGAAAACTGGCCATAACTGAATCAGTTGTGCTTTTTTTTTTTTTTTTTTGAGAGATTTTTGCTATAGGGCACGTGCGCTCGCCAGACAGAGAGAGAGACATAGAGACAGAAAGTGAGAAATCACCTCCCAGGGGGGATGGTCACACCGCAGTCCCTTCTCCTCCATTCTCCTCTCGGGATCTTGGGCACGCACTCACACACGCCCGGCGTGAGATTTAAGCCACCGGGCCCGGGACGCGAACCACAGTCAACTACGTGGGAGTCCAGCGACATAGCCATTATGCTAACTGCTGGTTCCCTGAATCATTTGTGCTTTTTCTGTGGATCAGGAACACAAACCTGGCTTTAGTGTTGCACTCAGTTTTGCTGAGCTTATCTTTCTCACAGCTTAGAGCTCGTCATTCCGTAGTACATTAGTCATTTGTAATACTTCAAGTAAGACATTAAAATTTACTGCCCTTCATGTGACAATAACTACAGTTTGCCATTTATTGAGTGTGTGCGCCATACTGAGAGGTTTATGTGTATTAATTCATTGAATTGTCGTAACTACCCATAGGAACACAAGCCTCAGAGAGGTTAAGTAAATTGCTCAGGGCTATAGAACTAAGGAGGAGCAGAGCTGGATTTTGAACCCAGATAGCCTGGTTCCAGAGTTTAATCTATTAACTACTTTGCTGTGCTCTCTTCAGTTGTATTTGAGGATGTCGCCCTACATTCATGATGTGAATTTTGAAGGGCTTTTCTAATTAAATTAGAAAAATTAAAGTGGGTTCTGGTGCTGCCCCAGACCCTCTCCTCCCTTATATTTATAGAAGGCCTCAGAGTCTCTAAGCCTGTTGGCAGATTTCTGTAGGGTATGTGGGAATTGCATCCTAAATGTGAATTGGGTAGTTTTTATTTTTTTCCAGACAGGTCCTAATTTTGACTAGCAAGATAAAACTCCCAAACTAACTACTAGTTATTAGAAGATTATGATCCCTTGGGTTTTACTTAAGCAAGATTTCCTAGGGTCAGCCCCATAGTACAGTGGTTAAGCCCTGTGCATAGGAAGACCACATGGTTGACCACAGTTCAAAGCCCAGCCCTGGTAGCTTAAAACACATGCTGAGCACATGTGTATGCATACGTGTCCCAAATTCTGTCAGGATAGAAAAATGGAGGAAGAAAGGATTATGGCATGAGCACTGTGGGGTGTGTATGCTTTCTCTCTCTCTCTCTCTGATGAGTGTCTGTGCCCTCTGGCAATTTTTTTTTTTTTTTAATTTTCTTAGTATAAGATCATGGTAAAGTGGGACCAGCAGTTGGCGTAATGACTATGTTGCTGGACTCCCATGTAGTCAACTGCGGTTCGAGTCCCGGACCTGGTGGCTTACACTCAACGCCAGGCACGTGTGCGTGCGTGCCCAAGATCCCGAGAGGAGAATGGAGGAGAAGGGATTGCAGCATGGCCATTCCCCCTGGGGATGATTTCTCACTTTCTATCTCTCTGTCTCTCTTTCTGGCAAGCACACGCGCCCTATAGCAAAAACCTCTCCAAAAAAAAAAGATCATGGTAAAGTCAGCTCTGATATAGAACTCTTCAGTTCATCCTACCCCTGGCTGCTTCATATCCTACCAAGGGTTTCTTAAGCATTTCAACTCTTCTGCAGATTAGGTTGATAAGCCTATTCTGTAAGCATTATTTTAGTTGAAAAAATTATATAGCAGTAATATTTTTAAAAATTTGGATGGATTTCCCTGGCTACGTGGCACAATCTGTAGCATGCTAGACTGCTCTTTGCTTTTCACCAATTCAGATCTCCGGGTCAGCCTGAGAAGTATTCTGAATGTCTGTGCAGACACCTCAGATCCTGAGGAGCTAGGCTGGGGAAAGGGTGAGATGAGACTTTGCCAAGGGTGCTTTCTCTCTCTCCCTCTTGTCTTTTTGTCTTGCTCTCATGTGTGCTTACACACACACTGTCATTAAAAAAAAAGAAGAAAAAGAAGAAGTTTGAGTGGAAAAAACCCAAGGCATGTCGTTCTTGCCCAGAGGCTCTCAGTGGTGGCTGTACATTAGATCACATGGGGGCTATTTAAAAATACTGAAGCCTACGTGGGCCCCAGTTATATATTCTTCTGATATTGCTATTCTTATTTTTGCTTATTACCTTCTAGTCTTTTGCTTAATCTATATTTTACCTCCTTGCAGTAACCATGTTAAAAAAAAAGTCTACTTTTTATTTTAAAAAAAAGCATCTCTATCCAAGAAAACCTCACACACAAACCATTTAGAAGTGAGAAATGGATTTTTTTTTTTCTGATTTAAAAATGTCCTTTCTAATTAAGGAAGTAAGACATATCTATTATAGAAAAGTTGGGAAAGAGGCAAATTTTGGTACCTTAAAAATAAATTGATTTCTAAAGAAGAGGCAATGTGAAGCAAAAGTAAAGATTCTGGGCAGATGTGAGATAGCCATGCTGCTTAGACTGGAAGGATTGACAAGTGACTGGGGTGACCTTTCTGCTAGATGAAGTCCAAGATCCTGGGCAGGGGGATGGACATCTCTTTCCAGGTTCTGTCCATCCACATGGATGAAATGGAACTTTCTGGTCAGAAGTACGCCATGGACTGTGTAAATGTTTTCGGGGAAGATGTGAAACCATTGACCCTGAAAAGGTTTTGCAGCTCCACTCCTATCAGAGATGGGAGGGTGGGAGTGGGCATGTTAGTCATTGAAATTACTCATTTCACCCCTCTCCCTGCTCTGTATGCAGTGGTCTTACACCCCCCAAACGCAGCCGCGGGAAACCAGCCCTGTCTCGAGTACCCTTCCTGGAAGGTGTGAATGGAGACTCTGACTACAATGGCGCAGGTGAGGAGTGGATTTTAGGCACATCTGGAGCAGCCAGGCCATCAGAGGAGCCGGCTCTGCCATCTGCCACACTGCTGGGACTCAGAACCAGGCAGCTGGTCTGGAGCTCCCCAAACTCTCAGGCACTGGCAGGAAGATGGCCTTCTTTTCCAGACCAGCCTGTCTGTCTTTCTTTCTTTCTTTTTTTCTTTTCTCCCTTTCTCCCTCCCTCCCTCTCTCCCTTTCCTTCCTTCCCTTCTCCTTCCCCTTCCCCTTCCCCTTTCCCTCCCTCCCTCCCTCTTTCTTTCTTTCTTTCTCCTTTCTTCCTTTCTTCCTTTCTCCCTCTCTCTCCCTCCCTCCCTCTCTTCCTCCCTCTCTCCCTCTCTTTCCTTCTTTCTTTCTTTCTTTCTGTTCATCTTAACTTCGAATAGGTAATACATGCCCATCAACAAAAATGAAAAAGGTACAAAAGGTATATAACCAAAGCCAGTGCTCCCTTTCCAGAGGTATCCACTGTTAGCAATTTCTTTCGTGTCTTTCCAGAGGCAGTCATGTATATATACAAACCAAAACTTTTGTGTATATTTGAGAGAATGAGTAGAGAAGCCTAATGTATACTTGTGCCTTTAAACTGTTAATTTTCTCCATATATCTTGGAGGTTCTTCCATGCTTCCTGTTGGCTGCCTAGTGTCCCAAGCTGTAGGAGCGCCGCCATTGGCTTAGCCAGCGTCTAAAGATAGACATTCAGATTGTTTTCACCTATTTGTTATAATCAACACTGCAGAGAACAACCTTGTACATAGATCATCTTATATCTTGGAGAATGTATCTTACCGAAGTGTAATTGCTAAACTGAAGGAAGTGTGCATTTGTAATTGTGATGGATATTGCCTGTCTGCACTCTAGAGTTATTAGTGGTAGCCTGTATCACTGAATCTCACATAACCAACCTGAAGTTTTATGGATCTTGTCTTCTTGGACCAAGGAAATAAAGGGCAGGGCAGGGCTTGGGGTATTGCTCTGGTGGAGCAGGTGCAGAGCAGGCTGTTCTCTGAGCTCATCCCTGCCCAGCCCTGCCATGCGGAGGCACGTCACTCTCTGGCTGCCTGTGTTTGGAGTTTCCATCTAATACACAGGCTGCAGGTCTTCTCTTTCCCCCTCAGTCTCTTTCTCGTATGTGTGTTGATGAGTGCATGCCTGTGTGTTTCATTATTTTCTGTGGCTGTCAGCACTCAGAAGGCAGGACTCATGTCTACATGAATTTGCATCTGGCTCAAAACCAGGAGTGAATCGGCATACTTTGTGCTTCTGGTGGTGACATTTTATTCTTATTTTAAAAACCACATTTTAAAATGATGCCAAAGGAAATTGACTTCCCATAGTTCCATTTTAGTAACACGATTTGTCTTCATTTCTCTGTGTTGCCTTCTGTTTATTTTAGGCACATTTTTAACAAAATGCTAATCCAAAACACATGCACTTTTGTAATCTGCTTTTTTTTTTTTTTTCAGTGTTATCTCATACTTTTTTTCATGTTGACATATAGTCCTTATATATCTCATATTATTGGAACAATGTATCTAACAAGCACTGCATTACAGTTTACTTAACAATTCTATTGTTAGACATTTGGGTTGTTTCCAACTTTTGACATTACATATAATGTAGTGAGCTCGATTTTTGTTCAAAATCCTTTAATTTGTTTTTAAAGTTATTTTTCTTAAACTAAATTCCCAGGGAAGGAATTTACTGGAGCAGATGGTTCATACATTTTTTAAAATGGCTCTTGAGATATACTGCCAAATCACATCCCAAAAGGAGTGGACTGGTCTGCAATTTCAGCAGCAGTCTATGACTGCACCAGTTTCGCTCAGCCTACCTCTTCAGTATTGGATTTTATCTTGTTATCGCTGTTGACTCAATGTGTACAAAGCAGTACCTCCCTGTCATTTTAGTACATTTTTAAAATAACATAAATGAGGGTGATGACATTTTCTTAGAAATGTAGTTTCTACTCTAAAATTTGGGCCTTTTTCCTGGGTGAGTGTTGTCACCTCCCCATTCCCAGTTCATAGATGTGGGGAGGGAAAGTGAAGTTCCTCTGTATTCAGAAGCACTAGTGAAGCAGCCATTCACTCCCATGTGCTAGTGCATTGGGTACAAAACACAGCAAGCTAAAGATGCCCGGCGTAAGATTCTGACAAAACAGGCACGTGAAGACCTTGCAGACCTCTTTGGCTCTGCTGAGTACTGTGCATCCTGGTGTCCTGGATGGCCAGGTGTGGCCTTGTCAGAAAATTACTCATTTAGCAAGTGGTTTTACTGGGATGTCCTTCCCAGGCACCTTTTCCATGAAGCTTTTATCATGGGAGCTGACTGCTTGGGCCCAGAGAGTAGTATGTGCCTTTGCCCAAGCTGGGTTATGTCCTTTTCCCAGAAGCCCTGGGAACAAAGCAGTTAAATTTTTCAGGGAAAACCATCTAGAACTAGGGTTCTAGTTCAGAGGTCGGTAAACTGTGGCCTGCTACCTGCCTTTCTCTGGCCCATGAGCTAAGAATGGGTTTTACATTTTTAAATGATTGAAAATCAGATCACTCTCGTAACATAATGATTAGATGAAATTCAAATTTCAGTATTTAAAAATAAAGTTTTATTGGGACACAGCCATACTTATTTAAGATTGTCTATAGCTGCTTTCTTGCTGTAACAGCAGAGTTGAATAGTTGTGACAGAGACCTAAAATATTTACTATTTGGCTATGTACAGAGCAAGTTTGCTGACCCCTGATTTAGTCTGAGAATTATTCGTCAGGAAAGGGTAGGGAAAAGGAAGGGTGGAGGGGATGTTGCTGACTCATTCATGGGTTACCCCAGTCAGATGGAGGCCACAGGCAGGCCTTCTGAGCACCATTCCAAGTCCCCTTCGGGCGCTGTCTCCTCCCCTCCCGTACCCCCAGGCAGAAGCCTCCTGATGCCCTTTGAAGACCGCGGAGACCTGGAGCCCCTGGAGCTGGTGTGGGCCAAGTGCCGAGGCTATCCCTCCTACCCTGCCTTGGTGAGTCTGCCCCAGACGCCACCTTCCTATCTCCCTTGGGCTGTTCTGGCCCTTGCCTTGCCTTGGGGGCTTATCTGATTGGATCAAGCCAGCAGAGTGTGGTGGGAGTCAGAGGGCCTTTAGTTGCAGGAAGTGGGGGGGGGAGGGTTTAACCCCAGCATGGGTGGGTCAAACCAGCTAGGCTCCCAGCTTGGGGCACTTAAAATAGGTTAAAAGTATACAGAGACTAGGTAGGGTTCTTTAGATTTTAATAGCATTTGTTGAGTTGCTTATGCATAAAAGTAATATGTGCTTATTGTAGAGAATTTTAAAAACTATTATTAATGCTTAAATATTAAACATCTGTCATGTCAAGTCCTTGAAATACTGAGGAAGGTATGGTTATTCTGACTTTGAAGGGAAGAAAATGAGGATCTGTTCTACATTGCCATACAGCTAATAAGTAGCAGGATTGGAATTTGAACCCAAGGCTTAAAATGTATGCTGTCAAAGCCCGTATTCTGAGCCACTGAGTTCAAAATCACCTACAGACCCATCTAGTCCGGGATAACTTGGTGTATCTCCACTCAGCCTTTTTTTAAAAAATGCATTAAATACACTTATATATGAGATTAACCTCCCTTTTATTTAACTGCATACCGTAAATATGCACATCTATGCCATTAAACATTCTTCATCAACATCACTTTTAATGACTGTATTGTCTGTGGTTGTATGCATGTACCATTTTTTAACCATTCCCTAGTTGGTCATTTGGAGTGTTTTGAAATTTTCACTATAATAAACAGTCGGCAATAAACATCACTGTAGCTTTACCTTTGTGCACATCCATGACTATTTCTGTCAAAAAAAAATACAATTTAATTTAAAGGTCCTAATTGACTTTCTTTGCAATTCTAGAATCAGGCAACACTTTATTCCATAAAATAGAATAAGTATTCCAAGGAGTTAAGTAGAAGAGGTTATAGGCAGGTGGAAGGGCCGAAGAAAATATAAACAAAGTACAAAATACAGATTGGTCATTTCAAAGTTACTTTTCTTACAAGGCCGGGACTAGGAGATAGGACAGTAGGAAAATAACTAGTAGTTAACATCAGGTTACTTTGTGTAAGGATTAAAACAAAGGGACCTTGATCGCTGGCTGATTGAAACTGGTCTGTTTGGAAAACCATTTCTTCCATGAGAGACACACAGGTACCCCCAACAAGGTCCTCATGCCATGATCCACTCCTAGCATGGTCATGCCGAGCATCTTTAGGGAGCTCTCAGGATGTGAACTCAGGGTCTTACCCATGTAAGTCCAGGTGACATGCTACTTTCTGGCTCAAATTTTTAGTATTTCTTTACAATGAATTCATAGGAGTGCCTTCTGGGGGGCAAAATCTGTACAAAATTCTGATATAGGTTGCTAGAAAATTAGCTCTGGTTTATCCTTCCACCATCAGTGTTAAGATTTCTTTCTTCCATAGTAGTAGTTGCTCCAAATTCCATTTTACCTCCTTGATTATTATTTCTTAGAGCTGTTTCTCCCATTCTAAACCTTTGAGGGCATGTCACGTCATCTGAGGTGATTTTCCAAACAGTACAGATACTGATTCAACTCCACCCAAGAACTACCAAATTAGATTCTATATTAATGAGGCCGGGCCAGCCCCAAGCACGAATTTTTTATTTTTTTTTTTTTGAGAGTTTTTTTTTGCTATAGGGCGCGTGCGCTTGCCAGACAGAGACATAGAGACAGAAAGCGAGAAATCACCCCCCTAGGGAGGATGGTCATGCCGCAATCCCTTCTCCATTCTCCTCTCGGGATCTTGGGCACGTACGTACACGCGCCCGGCATGAGTTTTAAGCCACTGGGTCCGGGATGCGAACCGTGGTCGACTATGTGGGAGTCCAGCGACACAGCCATTATGCTAACTGCTGGTTCCCCAGGCATGAATATTTTTTAAAAGCTTCCTGAATGATCCCTAGCCAGAGTTGGGAACCACCCTGATAGCCTCTTACATGCACACAGAACTCTTTCATATCTATGTCTACCAGCAGCCTCTTAAGATAAAGAGGACAGGAACTCTGATCCTATTTGAACAGATAAGAAGAGTACCATAGCTCAGAGAAGTTACACAGTTCACTGGAGCCATATTGGACCCATGTAGCCTGTCCACTCCCTCCTTGGCAGTGGCAGGAGTGGAAAATCCACACTCTAATCCAGTAGCTGAAGAGGTTGAGCTGCCTTCTCAGCAGTGAGACTATGGAACTGCCTTCCATCACAGTTTTTAAAGAAGTGGATAAGGGCTATGCAAGATTTTTTTTTTTTTTTGTCATTTTTAAGCCTCACAATGCCAAAAAGCAAGTCTAAAACTCGTTTTTATTATACACTCTCCAGCATTTTCCCCGTGTATATCAATATGTATCCGAATCCATAACATATATGTAATTTTTAAACTTTTTTGTCTCTAATAAATCTTTTTTCCTTCTTTTTGTAAAAATAATGTACCACAATACAGAATTTTTGGAAAATTAGAGGGGGAAAAAAATCCCCTACAAACCTCACCACTCTAACGTACTGACTCTGAGCATTTTGTATTGTTTCTATTTTTTGTTCATGTATAATATTAGATCATCGGGAAAGTCATGACTTATTTTTCTCCACAAAAATGTGTGATGACTTTCCTGATGACCCAATAGTTGTAATAATCGTGTGTGTACATATTTATTATATAATGTGTTAAATTTTTTCACAAGCTTTATTCCCATGTTTTGTCCATCTGGCCTGGACATCCTTACATCTGCATAGTATTCATTGAGTGAATGGACCATTATTTATTGTTTGGGGACATGCAATCTCCTCAGGTAACAGACTTACCCACCTTGCTTTTGCCCTCAGGGGAAATTTTTTACAGTCCTCTCTCTGCAAGTCCCCTACCTTCCAAGGCAGGAACCAACATGCCTTAGGCAAGAGGAAAGATATTGGTGTGAATGAAGTGGGGCTTGGTATGAGATTTTCTTTCGGGGCCCTTAGCTTCAGTCCCAAGAGGCTGGGAGACAGTTTTGACCAGCTCACACACATGCCAGGCAGAGCAGGGGTGGTTTTTCCTCTGAGTAGACTCTTAGCCAAAACACCTGCTTTCAGCTGCTTGTCTTGAGAGAGATGTAGAGAAGCTGGCAGACACCCAAGGCTACATAATAAGAACAGTTTATTATGAAAAGAGGCCCAGTGGGACAGGATATAGGAATTCAGATTGCTTCATCTCTGGAGAAAGCCACTTCCTAAGGAAGTTTCCAAGTCTCTCTGGCCTTTGCACACAGAGGTTGTGAGCCAGCAGCTCTGGAAGCAGGAGCTGTGCAGGGGGCAGCAGACAGCAGAGGCCCAGGCCTAGACCACACATTTGGTTTTAGTCCAGGCCATGATTTCAATGAGCTACATCGTCCTCCTGTGCTTCGTGTCTTCCTCTGTCAACAGACTTCCAGCATCAGTAAAAGATGGCATTGGAATGACGGGGGTAATCAGGAGCTTTGCAAACCGTGAAAGTGCTCTGTAGACCTGGACTATGCTCTGTTGATGCCACCGAGCATTTTGCTGAGCATCTGCCCTGATCTAGGCAGGCAGGGGCCAGGTGCTGGAGACAGCCAGAGGGAGGCAGGCCTAGCCCTGGTACTGCTTGTGGATTTATTCCTCCAGGGGCCATTTCCCCCCTCCATCCTCTAGCTGCATTCTGAGCCTCCTCTCTGATCTTACCTTAGAGGTGTCATAAACATGTGGTCCACACACCAGGAAGGATTGTAATCAGGCAGGAAGGTGGTGGGTAAACAGGGCCTCACAGTTGGAACCAGAGGGATGGCCCTCCTGCTGATGCAGAGCCTTCTTCATAGCCACGGTGCTAGGGAAGGCTCCTGAGCACTTGAGGTGAGCTGTAAAGGTTCTCAAGGGGACTTGACGGGGAAAAAAATGGCCTTCACTCGTCTTCCCTGAGTGACATTGGGAGGAAGAGGTTTGTTGTTGAACTGGCCTGGACATCAAAGACATCCTATCCAGCTCAGTCCTGATGCCCCCCACATGGGCTTCCTACCACTTCTGCTTCAGCTCCAGCACCTGATGGTTCTTCGGGCAAGTTCTATCTTCAGAAGGACTGGCTGGGCAGGGCCAGAGGATTAGGGCGATGAACAGGGGAAATGGAGTGAAGATTTCTGTTTGGAGGTGCTGGGGGCTTGTGGGAGGGATCAGCCCCTCCATCACTTGGTTGTGGGCAGGGCTGAGCCCCTGCATGGCTTTGGTGTGGGGTATTTTAACTGTTAGTCCTGCAGCAGAGGACCTTGCTCACCCCATCCCCTCCACTGAGCACCCATCTCCCTTTCTGCCTCCAGATCATCGATCCCAAGATGCCCCGGGAGGGCCTCCTTCACAATGGTGTCCCCATCCCTGTCCCCCCGCTGGACGTGCTGAAACTGGGAGAGCAGAAACAGGCAGAGGCTGGAGAGAAGCTCTTCCTTGTCCTCTTCTTTGACAACAAGCGCACCTGGTAAGTGGGTGCTGCTGCCAGGGGCTGCTAAGCCAGTTATGCTGTGTTCATTAGGTCACAGGGTGTCCATAACCTTAGCCACCCCGGGCTCCACCCAGATGAAGAGGGCGTTCTCCCACAAGTGGCCTGCATTCTCCACCTTGGCAGTAACCTAGTGTCACTAATAACACTAATAACAATTGATGGTGTTAATAGTAATTGAGGGGTGTCACAGATCAGATTCCCTGAGAAGCACTCCAGGTGAGGGAGATTTGCATCAGGGGGCTTATTGGAGAGAGCTGTGGAGAGAGCTGTGGGGGTGGAGGATGCCCCATGGGGCAGGAGAAGTGGTTGAACTGTAGTGCAGTTGGAATGGTTAGACCTCATTTTGTCCTCGGGAGCTCTGGAGCTGGTGGCTTGCTAGAAGCAATGGAGGCTATGCCTTTGTGCCCCTACACCAACTAGTCATCGAACACCACCTGCCTTTGGGGAGAGGTGTGGCCTTAGGCCAGGCAGCTCCCTTGGTGCAAGGTGATTCCTGGAGAGGGATTCAGTTGAAGGCATGTCAGCTGCCAGCATTCCTTTCCTGTGGGAAAGTCTCAGTCTTCATGGGCGTTCTGGCAGTGCAGTGTCCACTGCAAGGCACTCACTTGCTCCTGGTTTATGGACACCTGAGGTTTCTATTAGACCAGCAGGAGAGTGCTATCACCTCTGCTTCTACAAATGAGGAGGTAGAACCAGCTAATAAAATTCATGCTAATAATAGCTGCCATTTATTGAGTGCTTACTCCAGGTACTTAATGCAAATTGCCTTACATACATGATCTCATTTAATCCTTGTTTAAATCTCCATTAATCCCCTCACAATCCATTTTGTGGATGGAAAGCTGACTCAGAAAGCCAAAACCCCTTAGCCAGAACTGGTAAAAAATGAAGATCTGGTTCTAAAGGTCGTGCTCTTAGCTATATGTTAGATTCACCTGGGAAACACATGGGCTGGCCCAGGAGAGATCCATTCAATTCCTGGCATCAGGTCCACTTCTGTATTGTAGCTCCCTAATTCTCCAAGTCAGGGCAAGGCCCAGAACGCTCCAGGGTGGTTCAGTGGGTCCCAAAGGGTGACAAATGAATCCCTCACAGTTCCTGGGCCCTAACAACTCCCCACACATAATGAGAACCCAGGCAAAGACCTGGGAGCAAAACAGGTCCCATGCCACCCCCACTCTGCCTTCACACCCTGCTTGCTGTCCTAACCTGCCAGGTCTTGGTCACCTCCTTCTGCCTTGCTGGTCCTGAGCAAATGAGACCTCTTAACTATGCTTCTTGCACTTCAGGCAGTGGCTTCCGAGGGACAAAGTACTACCCTTGGGTGTGGAAGACACCGTGGACAAGCTCAAGATGCTGGAAGGCCGCAAGACTAGCATCCGCAAGTCAGTGCAAGTGGCCTACGACCGTGCCATGATCCACCTGAGCCGAGTCCGGGGACCCCACTCCTTTGTCACTTCCAGCTACCTGTAAAGGCAAGGTCGGGCCCGCATCGCCTGCTCTGCCTCCGTCCCATGGGGCACAGAGAATCTTCTCTGCCCCAGCTAGATGAATGGCTGGCAGCTTCCTCCTCTCATGGCAGGCCAGGGACTGGGCTATGTTCCCATCAAGGGCAAGACCCCAGTTTTGACCAATCTTGTGGCTCCTCTTGTGGGCCTGCTGTGTGCCAAAACCCCCACCCAAGGTCCCTCAGGGGATAGTCCACTAAAGAAACATTTAGAAGTAGAAACAGCTGTGGGACTGGGCCCGGCAGAGGAGATGGACCTGGCCCAGAAGGCAAGAGGTCCTAGCTCCTTTTTGAGGGTCTGCCTAGCCCCCTCCATCCCACCCCCAGCTAACTACACCTCAGGTGGGTGGAGCTCCTGACACAGATCCCAGAGACGCTCCAGCTATGCCAGGGCTGTGGGGAGTCAGCGAGCTTGCTTTCTCCCTCTGCCCACTTCCATCCCACCTCCCTGTCCCATCTTTTACACCCAGGCCCAGTTTCTGCCTTTTTTCCATGATCCTTTCCTTACTTCTCTTGTGCCAAACTGACAGAAACCATCATGGTCTTTTTCTTTAATGTCTCATTCCTCTTGAGGCCAGCTGCTATGTTAGGTGGGTGTCTCTGCCAGGCTCCTCATGGCCCAGGCAGAGACCACCACTTGGAAACCTCTCCACCAGCACTCCCCCTACACACACCTCCACAGACCTTCACTTCTGCTGTCTAGACAGCAGAGGCCCAGTTGTGCAAATGGGTCCCTGGATTGAGGCTGGACCCCTCCTGCCCTCTCCCTGTGTTGCAGCGAAGCGAGCTGAGGCTAGGGGGGTCGGCTCCTGTCAGGCTAAACTGGTATGTAAGTGCCCATCTGTCTGCCTGTATGTTGAGGGGAGCTATGTTCTTCAGCTGGGCCTGCCCCTTCCTACTCCTGCCCTCTCCCTGTGGGCTCTTTCCTGCAACTGCAGCCTTAAGCCTCACTCTACCCCACAGTGGCCGGTATGACACCTGATGTCCAGCATCTTCCTGGCCCACGTGCTGCCCTGCCAGCCTCTGCTGCTCGCCCCCAACCCCAGGGAATGCAACACTTTCAAACCCTCTGTCTCTTTCCCCCTTTGATTCCTTTCCCACCTTCACCTTCTCAAAAATGGAAGGGAAGAAAAAAAACTGTGAATGGGGAATGCTGACTTAAACCAACACAACTTTCAGAGGCTTCAGTGTCTCTTCTCTGGACATTTCTTTTCACCTCCTAAGCACCAAAGTTGCAGGGCCAGGTTGCAGGCCACTGATCGCCATGTTGATTTTAACCTGATGTTCTTTTTAATTGTTTTAAATTTTTCATAGGGGAGTTTTGGACAAAACAAAGTCACTGGGGAGATCACTGCCATTTTTACACACTCGACTTTTTAAAAATACAACCAACAAACCACCACAACTTCTTACACATTTGGGACATGAGCCAGAGTTTAAAAGGGAACCAACAAAACTCTCTAACATAAAGGATGGGGTTTTGGATTTTGTACAATAATAAAAACACAGTACAGCATATGGCTAGGGAAGGACGCAGTGTATATAATTGTAAAATACTGTTCTAAATTATTCAGGCTTATAGTTTCCATTATTGGAGTCCTC